CCGCCCGCGCACCCCGGCCACATGGTGAGTCCCCGGGGGCCGCCCCTGCGCCGCCCGCCCTTGCAAGGCACGAAGCGGCCTGGCCTCAGCCCTCTGCCCCGGGCACGGCCTCCCCAGCTGTGCCCCCGCGGGCTGCCAGGCTCAGCTCCCGCCCCCCCCCGGCCTGGGGCTGCTCCGGGGTCCCCTCCGCCTTCACCCTGCCCCGCGGCGCCTGCCCCCAAGACCAGCCTTGAGCCGCCGCCCCGGAGTGAACCGACCCGCCAGCCCTGGGCCGCCACCTTACACCGGCTTAGCCCTGGCAGCTTGGCCCCAGCCAGAAGGAACTGCGGGGGGGATACGTACAGCTCCCCCAGCCCAGCCCTGGGATGGGAGCGCGGGTATCTAGTGTACCCCCCAGGTATCAGCAGCCAGGTGAACTCAGGGGTCGGGGAGCTTCCCCAGCTGTCCCGTGCCCACTAAGAGGCTGCCCTGCTGAGAGAGGGCACCAGGCAGTAAGCAGGCAGAGCCAATGCATGAGGCTCAGCTATGGGGGCACTGCCCTAGCTGTGCTTCTGCCAAACCTGGACACCGCCAGCCTTGCCCCAAGAGAAAGACGCAAGGCTGGGGAGTTCCCCTGTATTCCTCTTAGCAGCCTTTCAGGGGTGCCATTCGCTCTGGTGGAAGAGAGCACTTGAGCTAGCTTGTGGCACCCTTTGGGTCAGAGGGTGGGAGGCAAGCCTGGCCTTAGGGTTTATGCAAGCAGGAGTTGAAAGCTAGATTGGCAGTAGCAGACAGTAGACCTCAATACACCTTGTTAGATTTAAAGCACCCTTTGGAAAGTGCCCGCTCTTAGCGTTCACTTGTTTCTTGACTACAGAAAAAAATAGAGCAATTCCTCTGTTGCAAAGAGCTCAGAAAGTGGGCCAGAAGGTTGCTGATGCTACAGATCCCTATTTGGAGTCTCTGGTTGTATCTTGTGAATCACATGCAGGTATTTCCAGCCCTAACAATGCTAATGTTGCATAATAATACCCCATGGCACCCTTAAAATGATCTTAAGGCACCCTAGGGTGCTGCAGCACCATGGCCAAGAATCATCGGAGTAGGGACATTTCAGAGGTTTATGGAAGGGCTACAGAACTTGAAACAAAAATGGGAAGGAAGTCCCAGCTAGAGAGGCATTACAAGATAGTTAGTTTGCTCTTAGTTATGAGGCTCAACCCATCAAAATGGAAAATAATTGCTTCTTGTCTAGGAGTAAGCAAGCTGGATTTCAACATCAGTGTTAGCTTTCTACCTCAGAGCCTGTAACCTGTAAAGCTTAGACCGTTTTGGGAACAATTGTCTTTCCTGCTTAACAAATCTAACAATGCTCCTGAGTGCAGTGATTGAGATCCTTGGGAACAGCAGCACCTTTCTCTGACATTTTATCTGTCTCCTTTTAGTTTTTAATTTAATTGGTTGAACATTTCATCAGGTTTACAGTCATGCTGCAGCCTTTTTAAGGGAGGAAGGAGTGAGGAAACACATAACAGCCAGGCATATCTACCACATGTGGTTACTTTTATATAGAAGGAAAGGTTAATATATTAATGCATAGGCTCCTCTTACTAGGATTTTACAGCACTCGCCATAAGCCAAATACAAAGCCAGAAAACCAACAGCTTGATTTTTGTAAGGTATTAGGCACTTGGAACTGAGATTCCTCTTGATTTTCTGTCTGTATTTTATTTATTTCTAAATATTTTAGGATCATATGCACAAATGGAATTTTATTCCTGAAGGTAAGTTAATAGAAGTGCTTGCATACATAATGAATCTTAAGTGGTGCACTGCTTTTCCATATGATGAATATAAATAATGGAATTTTATTTATCTGAGTGATATAAGAGCCTGAGAACTTCAAAAGCAGAGTGCTTCAGGCAGTCAGACTGCAAATGGGAGAAGTTTTTAAAAAATATCCTTGCGCTGATAGTTGCTTCCACAATACATAGTGGATTAAACTGAATTAAACCTCATAATAATCCTGAGAAGCAGAGGAGCATCACTCCCATTTTGCAGCTGAGAAGAACAAGTCATGGGAAAGTTTAGTAATTAATCTAAGGTTTCATCAGAGATAGGAAGCAGGTTTTGGAACAGATTTTCTGTTTTCAGCCACGTGGTTTAGCAACGAGACTATTCCTCCTCTTAAACTGGAATGTATATTCTGATTTAAGAGCCATCTGGCCATTTCTCACACATAAAAATAGTGTGAAAACTCAGCATTTCAGCTGCACAATATCCAAAGAAAGATAGCTGATTTCAGGGAGGGTGGCCAAACCGTTATGATTCAAGATGGACAGTTCTAATGTAGTTTTCCACTTACAAGGTTTAAGGAGCTACCCATTTTACCTTTAAAAAAAAAAGCCAAGGGGAGGGCAGGTGAGGTTGGGGAAAGACACACACTGAAGTTATCCTTCACCTGTCTGACTCATTCAATCTCTTAAATGTCTGATTGTGTCTGTCCCAAATCTAGGAAAAAGTAGGAAGGAACAGTGGAAGAGATGATACTACAGAGTATTCTCTTGAAGAATTCCTAGTGCAGCAGGCTTGCTAATACCAGACATAGCTGAAAACCCACTGTTACCATAGAATACCATGCTATTCTAAGAAAAAAGTATTCTAAAAGGAGCTGTTTAACCTAACCTTGCTCCGGACACAGCCAACAGAAAATTATCATAGTCTTTAACAGCTACATTTTCAGGTACAGGTGCACAGAAACCTGGGTTTGAATCACTATAGTATTACTCCACTTTTGCTAGTGTGATTGTCAGCCTCCAGTAGAGTTGCACTATACACATGTAAAAGTGTTTGGTGTGGGCCTATCTTGGAGCAGCATCTATGTCTGGAAGTCAGTTGCTTTTATTCTATGTATTTGTAAATGGAGCAAGTACTTTTCTGCTTTAGAAAATTAGCAAGATCTACAAGGGGATGAAGCTGTCTGCTTTACATCCTGAATCTGAAATTAGAATAATTAACAGTAAGTTACTGTAAACTGTGTAAAGCTAAGCAAGGATCCCATCTCAGGATTGCATTAGTTAGATTATGGCAACGATCTAAGGGATCCCAGTGTCCCATAAGACACTGTGTAGCACAAATGGTTGAAACATGAAAGTAATGATACAATTAGAAGGCAGGTTTTCAGAACTGATGAATCAGGTCACAGAATTACTTCTGGGATTTTCTAGCTAGATCAAAATACAGGTGCCTGAGGCAGTCAAAATGTTCTTTAAAGGCTGATTCCAGATCAGCTCCATCAGCGTAAGTCTAGAATCATTTTATTTACATTCAGTGGAATAACTTTGGATTTATCTTTATGGAATCAATATCCAAGGCCTATCCTAAACTTTTTATTTCCAAGTCATAGAACAGTTGGTTAACCTCAGAATTGTTCTAGGACAGTTGGCAGCAATAGATACAAGGTCAGAATTGCACATGCATGTGTTAGCAAATGTGGGCTATTCTGCACTTGGAACAATCGGCTGCTACTGAACACAATGCTCCATTTTTATACATTTTGTCATGTAGAACTTCTTGCAGTGAAGAAGAAAGAATAATAGCCTGACAGGAATGGGAAGGAAGAAGTCCCCAAATATTGTAATCTCTCAAGATATTTAGAAGTATTGCTGGGAACATACAACTGAAAAGGACCCTGTAGGCCTATACCAAGCTTAAGGGTCTTACAGGATACAATGAAAATAGCAATGGCTTGCTTCTTTAGCAGGAGTTGGAAGAAAAATGCATCTACAGAGGAAGCAGGATCACAACTAAAAGTTTTGCCACAATAAAGATTTCTATTGGAACAAATTTATTAGAGATAAATGGATGAGCCTAACCCATTAACTGAAAGGGGATTTTACAAGGAAAAGTACTTCAGGTCTCTGCCTTTGAAGGCAGAGAGAAAAGAGAGCCTTCAAAGGAATGTCAACACATTTGCTAGATACATATTTATGTAACCTGCACTTTGATACATACTTTGCTAAGGATGCTGTGATGCAAGCTTCAGCTAAATAGGAAGTGTTAACATGTCTCAACCCAAGTTTGGCATTGGATAAACAGTAGTGACCCAGAGCCAAGTTAGAGTGTTCTGCCATAGCTATCTATGTAGAAGCCAATTTGATGGTGGAGATGGATCATTGCCCAGAAGATAGTGAGCACTAAAACACTTCATTTTATCCTGGTGTAATCATTAGTACTAGCAGCAGGATTCTGGTAGGTGTCCTATTGGAGCAATGGAGTCCAAGCCTGTTCTGAACAGAAGTTCTCATCAGCTTCTCTGTGGTGTTACATGGGTGTTAGAGCAGAATTGGATCCATGGTGTATGAAAATATTTGTCCAGTCCCCCATGTTGAGGAAGTAAATATACCTTTGCACCTTGCTATGAAATAGAGAATAAACTAGATCAGGTCCTCAGGTCATATAACTTGCTATAGTTCCAGGCACTAGACTTCTTATCTATGGATACTGTGTGCAAACAGAAACCAGCCTGGCACAAATCCACTGGTGACAAAGAACTCACTGTCAGAGATTACTTTCAGGGCATGTCAGATCTGATGTGGAAGTCAGCCTTGCCAGTCCTTCCATCCAAAATCTAAGACCACATATCAAACCTATACCAATCAATAAATAGTACTAGTGTAACTTTGAAGATATTTACCTTCAGAATGTACAGTGGCTTTGGACTACTGATGAGTGCACATAAAAATGGCTGGGTATGGATATTCCTTTTTGGGCTTTACAGACACCATATTTTAGACCTGACCTGCTTTTGAAATCCAACTGATAGCAGAATCAGCACTATATTTAAGATCTATTCTAGAGTCTATTTACTCTACTCATGTGGAGAATTTAGCCCAGTTTGTTGTTCTGCCTCTGGGTGGCCAAAATGTAACCTTAAATTTTATTTTAAAACTTGAGAAAAGAATGTAGAGAGGTTAGTGACTAGAACAGAATGCCACCTTGCCCTGATACCCTGAATTTCATGATACTCCAGTATACATGAACAC